GATGACTCCGGCAGCGAGGAGAGAGAGAAGAAAGAGAAGGAAAAGAAGGAAAGTGAGAAGGTGGAAGTGCCACCTGAGTTCAAGAAGACGGCAGAAGAGCTTAAAAGAGAAGAAGATGAGAGAAAGGAGCCAGTCAAGAGGCTGAGCAAGCAGCCGTTATGGCTGGAGAAGTTGACGATTTGAAGTTGGATCAAGCAGCTGCAAGCGAGCGGAGAGCAGCATTGGTTCAAGCGGCTAACGCGATGGCCGAAAGCTCTGGATCAAGAGAGCAAGCAGCAAAAGCCGAGGAAGCAGAAGAGCAAGAGCAAGCAACAAAGGCCAAGGAAGCAGAAGAGAAGGACCAAGCAACAAAGGCCAAGGAAACAGAAAAGGAGGACCAAGCAACAGAGGCCGAGGAAGCAGAAAAGAAGGACCAAGCAACAGAGGTCAAGGATACCGTAGAAAGGGTCCAGGATGACGATGAAGGCGTAGATGAAATGGAGCTCAAAGAGGGCTACGACATAGCGTCGGACACCATGTGGGAAGCAATCGTGCATAAAGCTGACGCCAAGCAGATCGAGGAAGGGTTACCTAACGAAGCCCTTTCGAGGGATTTGCTATGCTTCGTGAGGTCGCTATGCGTCCTACCAACAGTCTTCCAAGTGGCTACGCTCTGAAGTTGGGTGACTTGAAGAACAGTTTAGACGGAATGGTGATCGAACATGAAGAGTCACTCAGCATTCTATGGGAAGATGAAGTGAAGGTTGAAAAAGAGCTGAGGGTTATGGAAGCTGATTGCGAGAACTACGAGATGGAGCTTCAGAGAGAGCTCCAGGAGAAGCTTTCAGCGAAAAAGAAGCAGATTGAAGAGCTGCGTGACGGCTTTTGACACGTTGATCAGGTATCAAAGTCGAAACAATGCTTGGAACAGTTCGTGTAAATTGTTTCAAACGCGCAAATCCGTATTGCTGAGTTAACCAAGGCCAAGGCCTTCCCCAGCTTAGCAAGGTTGCAGACGATGCCAGATGAGGAGCTGGAGAAAAAGCGGAAGAGCCTGGCGGAAATCTTGAAGAAGGCGAAGAAAAGAAAAGAAGAGACGGCCAGCGCGGCCGGAACGCCAGCTGTAAGTGCAGCTGGGAGTGCGGCTGGAAGTGCGGCTGGAACACCGCGAGGTGGAGATGATAAAGAGAAAGAGAAGGAGGAGAAGCCAGAGCCGCAGCCAAAGAAGATGCCGACGATGATTGCTGAGAAGCAAGGTGAAAGTGCTGCGACGAAGAAAGTTGAAGAGCTCAGAAAGCGGCTTGATGATAAGATGATGACGAATGGAAGTGAAAAGCCGCATGAGCCGGAAGATGGGCCGAAGAAAAAGTGGCAGGAAAACCCAAGCACGCCGAAGCAATGGTGGCGAGGAGACTCACCCGCCGTGGTGTGTTTCTACTGCAAGGAGAAGGGCCACAAGTCGGCCACGTGCCGACGCATGTTTCAAGATGCTCGATCGGTTACTGGATATGTGCCAAGCGAAAACCGCATCCAAAAGCCCAGGCAAATGTTTTGCCGCCACTGTTTTATCAAACAAGTTCGAATCCAAGGGTTACCGGAAAGTGTGGCAAAGGAGCGCTGCGCAGGCTGGGGTTCGCATTCCCCTGATACTTGTTGGTACGAAAATGAAGCCAAGGAGTTCCGAAGAAGCAAGCTGAAGAGCTGAAGAAACGGCAGCCCAATCCGAGTCGGGGCCAAGAGCCTGTGCCTGTGGCAAAGAAGAAGAAGGTTTCAGAAGGAGAAGTGATCGAAGTTGGTGACGATGCTGACAAGAAGGATGCTGGAAAGAAAGAAGATGAAAAGAAAGGTGCTGATGAAAGCCGAGGTGCCGGATCAAGCAAGGATCATGAGAAGAAGAAAAAAGAACCGAAAAAGGGCACCAAGAAGAAGGAAGAGCAGAAGAAGAAGAAAGATGATCGAAAGAAGGAGAAGAAAGATGAAAAGCAGAAAGACAAGAAGAAAGAGAAGAAAGGTGGAAACAAGATGGAGAGTCCCGAGAAGAGGGACGGGACAGCTGAGGGCAAAGACCCTAGGAGGTTTCACAAGTGTGAAAAGGGAGAAGCACCGAGACCACGTGGGTAAACAACGGTCCACGGCCGGAATGAATGCTTAAAGCAAAAGACAAAAGCGCCTGAGAACGAAAAGGCAAAAGCGCCTGAGGGCGAAGAGAGAGGATTCCAAATCCCACGATATGCACAACGAGCACTACGAAGGCTAAAAGCCGAAAATGCGTTCAACGCAAGCATCTGGACAGTGATGCAAGGTCTAAGACCAAAACTGAGGGCAGAGTTTCTTTGAAGTTACTTCAACGACCTCGACGACCTAGCGTTGCCGAAAATGAGCGCGACTGCCAGTGAGCGTAGTTTGCCAATGCAGTTTCAGGACATGTCAGACCTGGGATTGTATGCTTCACTTATCAAAAACCAGGACATCTACAATGCAGAAGGATGATGATGAAGAATGATGGTTAAAGTGAAGATTATGCTCAATGGAGCATGAGAAAAGAGTCAAGGCTCTACGTGAGCGTGAGACAAGAAGGGTGAAGTGGATGGTAGAAAGTGTTTGAAGATCGAATCAAGTTGTACAATACAACCTGAGTCGATGAGGGCGTAACAAACGTTGCACTTTAGTAGGTGTGCCCAATTTAGCACGTCTCACTGCGTTTCTCCGAAGGTCATACGACGGCTCAAGTGTAGCGGGAAGATTGTGAAAGCCCGTGCCGTGTGTTGACAAGGGATTAAGTTTGACGTTGGTTGGTTAAAGGTTTTAAACTTCCAGCATGCCTTGATGTCTGAATAGTGCTGAGTGTGCTTAGCTGCGCTTTTAATCGCTAATGTACATGCAGCCTCGCTTTGTCATCCGTGACGGGGGCTGGCATTCGTTTGAGAATGCACCGTGTTTAGCTCTGCTAGCGTGTGGCTTCTGCCGGGCAAAAGCCTGCTCTCTATCAGCGGTCGCAAAGCGTCCCACTCACCCGGACGCTGCGAGTTGAATGAATGAGTGAACTGAGTTGATTTTCTGCAGAATGATTTATGAGGAATATAAGAATGGCAGATCTGGTGCCCAACAGTTCTGCTATCAAACGTTTATCTGGCTTCCGTCTACATTTGGCCACTTGGCAAATCTGGATGCAGCAGTTCCAACGTCCGTGGTGGCTTCTTCGTTTTTCTCGATCGATTGCCCACTGTCATTGACGTCAATCCTGGCAATGCACATTCTTTTGTCGCAATTGCAACTGTATTCTTCAACAGATCAGAGCAAAAAACATGCGATGATCTTGAAAAGCACCATCAAGTTCTGGACATGGCAACGCAAGTGTGGCAGCTCTAATAGAGCGCAGTCAGCACCCGGTTGCAAGCGGGAATTGCTTTCACAGTCGAAAATAGAAAATGTTAAACCGTTCGTAATCAAAACTTCAAGCTGATCGAAAACTGATTTACACCACACATAAGTTTGACAAAGGAACAAATTAACAAAATAAGATCAAAATATGGCTAGAATATTGCAAACATGGCTCTGGAAAGTGTTCAAACAAGCACTTTCCAACATCTTTTTCGACGCTATATTCATGCGAATTACGGAATTAGCAATTTTGCAAGGAAGATGTCAAAGTTCCAACGTAGAAATTTCTTTCGATTGTCATTCTTCTGAAAAATTTGATGTCAGTGGTAAGAGCTTCATACAATGCAAAACATCAATCGAAAGCATCATCCGGTGCACTTTTGCGCGGAGAGCCTCCGAAACACAATTTTGTGCTGAAGGAAGAGTGCTTCGCTCCAGTGTGCTGCTGGATATTAAGATTAAGATACTTTTGACGCTACGACGCCCGCCTACGGCTCCGCAGGTGCAGGGGCCGGATGAAACGGCAAAGCCTTTTGTATCATGTCCAACTCACGGCTATACTGAGATTTTTTTTTGAGAAGGATTCCCGCGATGCAACAGGTGCGGGGGTGCCGTAGAGCTGCTTTTCAGCGAGACATGTCAGTGCGCGGACAACCAGCATGGCCGCACGCGGCAGGGCGGCAGGGATTGGGAGGGAGGGATGGGGGGGAGGGGATTCGGAGGGTACTTGAGGTAACCCCTAAGACGCCTGGGCCTCTGGCTTCGGCGGATATGATATAGTATTGGTCCGGCCGCCTGGGTCCCCGACCGCTTCGCCTTTCGCGGTTGAGTCAAGTCTCAGCTGCACACAGAGGCACCGCTGTGCGAGGGTTCACAGCTATAGGGTTTCTGCTTCTCTGAGGGGACGGACTGTTCCAGAGGTTATGTTTGGATTGGAAGGCTGAGGCAAGCAGCCTTCGGCTCGCACAAGTCGGTGTGCATTTTGGACTTGACCGCCTCCGTCCCCTTCGCCACCCTGTGGCATTGCGGTGCATTCGCGTGCTGTCCGTCCGCTGCACTCTTGCATGGCGACTTTTCACGTCTGGTTGTCGGCTTTAAGCCTTCGTCCACTGTCCGTGACGCATTCTTAATCAAGTTTGTTTGGCGGACTCCAGACGTTTTTGCAACGGTGACCAAGAGAAAGACTTCGTGCGTGCGAGGGTTCGATAGGGCTTGGGGTCTATTGTTAGGGTAGCGGACTAGTCCGACCGAACGACGCAGCTGAGGTCTGTCAGATGGTTGGATTTGTGATTTTTCCAATCATTGGTCGTCATTGGGTTGATTGTTTCGCTGTTTAGCCCAATTCTCATCCGTTGCTAACCATTTGCATGTTGCTGGCAGTCCCGAGTCACTCGCATCCAATGACACTCGTTTGTGGGAGCTTCCCAAATCACGATTCCCGCCCATGCAGATGTAATGACAAACGAGTTGGTACCGGCGCGGAAGGGTATGCATTTGCACGTACCGCAATGTTCGCCAGCCAGGGGTTCAAAACTCAAAAACATAATTACATCATACTGCTGACCTGCCAAACTTTCCCGTTTTGCACACATCTTGCCTACTGAGTCAGATTTTTTTGTGAAACACAAAACACTCACGACATGCTTTTATGGTGTTTGCCGTTGTGGTTGTCGCGAGTGCAGGCCGGCCGTTGCTGTTGCTTGTGCATCCACAAGTACATGCGAAGTTAATGAATCCCAAAGGGTGATTGGATAGGTGGGTGTCGCAGCCTGAAGACGATACGGTTTCATTGGCAAGACTGATTGATTCAATGGTGTTGAATCGTTTGCATGGGTTGCCCTTCGCATGATGATAGGCGTCTGCGGCGACTTTCCCGTCCTACTTGTTGGATCATGCGACACAAGATGTTGATGCAGGCCGATTGCTTTGTTACTGGTACTTGCTGTTGTTGATGGTGCGTTTCAGCCTCGACGCTGTCATCACTGTTTGTTGCATTTGGTCAGGTCGTATCGAGAGTGGCTTTGGACACGCATGCTCGCAGCATGGCGCGGGGCATGTGTGGACGTGAAACTTTGTGATTGATGGTGCTCTCTCAGTGTCATGTGCTTGTCCACCTGCGGTGACTTCGGTTTCATCAATACGATGAGTTCGTGCATGCTACGTCGTGCTGCCAGGGCTTTGCGACAGCTGCATTGCGGACAGTTGTGGTTGGTGTGACCGAGAACAGCGGTGTCTCGGTGCTTTGACCCTTCATTGGTCCAGCCTTGGTGGTTTCCTGTTCCGATTTGCGCGGCTAAGGTGCTTCCGCCAGCTGCGGGCCAGGCCCCAGTTTAGTCAGAATATGGCGCTGCGGCTTCAGCTGCGCCTTCAGCACAACACAGTGACCCTGGCATGAATGGACGCACTAGTGAATGATCGAATGAAGGAATGAATGAATCATTGAATGATTGAATGATATGTGTGAAATGTATGACCTGTCTGTCTGTCTGTCTGTCTGTCCGCCGGTCTGCCTGCCTGCCTGTTTGCCTGCCTGCCTGTTCGTTTGTCTGTTTGTATGTATGGGTGTTTGTGTGTAAGTATGCATGTATGCGTACATGCACAAGTATACACGTACAAGAGAGCGATGTTGCGCAAACTCGCACTAGTTCGCTGTCTGCAAGGCCACGCCCCGGTTTCAGTGAATGTAAGCAGCTGCCCTCCTCAGGCCAGGCAGCAGTGCCAAGTCCAAAAGCGTGTGAAACGAAGCCCGGTCATTGTTCGCCTCCAGCCTTGAAAGCGCCCCCAAGCGGCTTTGGCCGACGGCGACACCAGGTGCCGCGCCAGACTGATTTCCGGCGGCAGGATGCCCTGGAGTTGCTGCCCAAGCTGACTTGTGAGCATTGAACGGAAGGACCCCTTGCTAGAGCTGCTAGAGTGCCAAGGATGGTTCGCTACGCGTGGGCAGCCTACTACGACGAGCCTGAGAGGCCCAGATTTGCGGATGTTTTGCTTTGGTGCTGACGACGTTCGTGCGATTTGGGTGGTATCGGTGAGAAGACAAAAATTGATTGAGGCACCGGCTGCCAGACTCGGCGGAAGTCGTGAAAGCATTCCATTACCGGTCGCGGCACTCAGTAAACCTTCGGAAGAGACAGGACAACTATGAGTCTGTGAGTATTAGGATTGGAATTTGGGACAATGCTTTTGCCTACGTCGCCCTGGACTCGTCCACGAATCGGATCGTCGTGCACCTAAGCGGTTGTCGGACTTGGGGGTTCGCTGCATGGTGAGGTTGCTTGTCACTGGCTTTAGGTACTTGCCTTTCGTGGGACGGACACCTTGACGCAGGCTTCTAGTGCTTCTAGGTGTCTAACAGTCTGCCACGTGATTCAGGAAATAAATCCTTTGAACGTACGCCAGATTTCCTGAATCCTGCCCTGGCCCAGCTGATGGTTGAGCTCATCTCGCATTCTCTGGTGCCCTTCATGACGGGAAATACACAGGCTGGCCGCTCGAGGTGTAGCGTTGAAGTAGCGTTACTCTGGTGACTTTCAACCAGGTACGTGTGAATGAGTTCTTTCTGGCTGCAGTATGGGGCTGAAGCTGGAGCTCGAAGCGCCGTTGGCAGAGAGCCAACAGAGCTGGACAGCATTGACAAATAACTGTCGACCTACCAAGGCAGATGATCTTCTTCCACAGCTAACGCCGGCAGCTTCCTCGCATCTCCTTTTTCTTGTCCACGTAGTGGTAGTGAGGGTGAGTGAGTCATTCTGGCAGAAACTATTTCTGTATCTGGCAATAGCAAGCCGTTGGTTCATGTATGCTTGGACGAAACCTCCCTGCTTTGCCTGCGGGCGGCAGGAAGTAGTGTGAATTGAGAGTTCGGCTCCGGTGTCGTGCCCGGATGCCGCAGCAAGACCCCGGAGAGAGTGACAATCTGCATCATTTATAAGCACTAGAGTCACTAGATGGATCAGATGCGTACTTAGGTCTTGCGGGACTTGGAGATAAAGTGCCCGGCTTGCCAGCCAAGGGCTGAAGAAGCGGTTGCTTTCGCTGTCGGTCTTGAATGTTTCAGGAGTCAAAAGCCGCCTTGTTGATGAGGCTTTGGATCACCGGGCACAGCTTGGGTGCTTCCATGGCACTTCTGGCGGCGTTCAACGTTTCGTTTTGGAGCTGCAGCTTAGGTTGCTGTGAAGGTTGATCCTGTGTGATTGAGACATCGCCGTCCGCAGGACCCGCGAACAGCCCATCCTGCTCACCTTCGGCCAACCTCGAGCGTGAGACTAAGAAGGGGCCGGGCTTTGGGGCCATGAAGCTCTCACGTCTCGAGCCGTCAGAGCTCCCGGCTCTTGACTCAGTCCGTCAACGGCCCGTTCGCTCGGATGATGGCTCCCTGCTGAGCCGAAGAAGGAGCGCGAGCTGAACAAAAGAGGGGTATTTCCCACGCTTGCCGAGGAGGAGAGGATCAGCCGAATCTACCGCTTGGTAAATGCAAGGGATCCCGCCCGTGACTTACTACGTCTACTGCTTCTGCCTCGTGGCCGTGGCGGCCTCCTAGTGTCAAGATGTGCCAAGGTCCCACACATCCCCAGGTGCCACAGGAGCGATGCTGCGCAGAAGCCTGAGCAGCGACACCGCAGGTATCGTCAAGAAATCCCGCGAATTCCCGCGATGATACGCTAGGATCGCCAGGATCAGGACTCCAACACATGCTATGGAAACTTCTACCCTCAATATCGAGCTTGAAGGCTAACCGCCGATCTTGTGGCGTGCACAACCTGCATGGCTGGCCATGAATGATGGTTTTCCTGCAGTGCAATGGTTGGCATCACAGAGCTTCTCCCTGAAACTCCAAGAATTTCACTCAGTCCCAATTCGACATGCCATGGATGGTGAGCGTTCGAAGCTTGCCGCTCTCTCGCTGCCGCTGCTGCGTCTTGGCTTCAAGTTTCTTCCATTTTAAACACTTGGAGCCCCACCCACAGAGCGACAAGCCTCGGCCACTGGTCCCCAGGCAGGGGCTCTGCCGCGCCCGTGGCATTCCACCTGGGCGTTCTTCAAAGGAGAGTGCAATGCACGTCATGGAGGCCTGTGACGTGCATTGCACTCTGATTGCACTCCGGAGGAAGACCTCGTGGAGCGCCTCGTGGCGAAGAGGAAGGCGAAGGACCGGTCAGAGTCTGCACATGGAGCGCACAGTTTGTGGTCCCTGCATTGTGAAGAACTCATGAACCTGCACGTATTTCTTTGTTTATCGAGGATTGTTGCTGAGACCAGTCAGTGCTGCCAGAGCTTGACATAAGGTGACTGCGATGCGTCGACCAGGGCGCGAAAATTGTTTTGGCCAGGACTGCGATGCCGATGCAGCCAGGAAGCGCCCTGCGCAGGTAAGTCTGTCAAACAGCAGATTGTGTTGAGGGGTCCGGGTAGCTTGAGGTGGCCGTGTGAGGTATGATGTAGCATCAGTTTACTGATAGTACAGTACAGGTCGGGTTTTGTCGGATGCTTCCGGCGAGCATGGCGCATCTGTGGTGAGCAGGTGAGTATTCGTCGCCAGTCCCCGGAATCGACTGTGGTGCTGGTTCAGTTGCCGTCTCAGAGTGACGTCAGAATTCACTCATTGCTGTGCATCTTCGTGGCTTAGATTTGCAGAGGTCAGGAGACGCCTTCGCGTTGGGAGCCGGGAATGGCTGTGGTCTGAGCGGTTTCCGACCCCTGCGCTGCGGGTGCGGGCCCTGGGCGGGCCCGAGCTTTGAAACCAAGTCGCAGCCCTGCAGCCTCTGACTCGTTGTCGCCCAGACCTGGAGGTGCTGCGGCGAGCTTTTCGATTTGGGCAAAGCGCCGCTCGTCCCGGGAGCGGCCTTGTGGTCTGCGCAAGTGCTGCAGTGCTGCTTCCCAGGACTTTCAGCCACGATCCAAAGCGATTCTGGTGTCCCAAATGTCGTTTTCGGGCCATGGACCCGTTCAACGAGGTGGGGCTATAGGGCAGTGCTGACTGCAGGGGCTTAGGCAGCCCCTCTCTCTTTTCGGAGGTTGTCGATGGAGGGCTTCTTCACCTCTGCCTGGTCACGGCTGCGGAGCATCGCTTTAACTTGTGGCTTGGCCGCACTTGTCTCTGACTCCGGTCCTCTTGTTGGTCCAGGGTGGCATGCCCATGGCCCAGAGGCCATCGGCCCAGGTCGCTCCCGCTGCTGAAGGAGTGGCGTGCCGCTGGCGAGACGGTCTGGGTTCGCATGGTGGCCCTGGACTGCGTCGAGCTCCTCCAGGCACAGAGCGAGAGCGAGAGAGAGGAAGAGAGCCGGGAAGGGAAGGGCCAGAGCTAAGCTGCCGATCGAGGTGTGGCCGGAGGAGCTCTCGCTGGAGGCCAGCAGCACATGCAGCGACGCAGCACCGCAGCGCGTCGCAGCATATGCTTCGGCGAGGCAGATGGGCGGGAGCTTTTCCGCATCGCGCCACCAGAGAAGGCAGGGGAAGCAGAGGCAAACGCAAGAGCCGCAAAGAGTCCACGTCCATGTGTCGCTCGCTTGCTCTTCAGCATGTCTCCAGGGCCACCGGCGGCGTGATGTGCCCCAGGAGCTGACGTACCAGCTCATGGCTGGCCCTAACGACCCTCGCACTTGAAAGGTCAGTTGTGGTTGCGACAGTTGTGACTGGATGCTCGCACTTCTGCTCGCAGACATTGGAGCATGCAGAGGGAGGATGCCCGAGGTCCTTCAGTTGCGAGTGAACGCCTCTGCCGCCGGGTCGGGGCTGGCCCTAGGCCGTCTTGGGACTTTTCCAACTGTTTGTGGATTGTTTTGGGCACTCCAAGCCGTGGAATGCTGGAATGCCGAAGGTGTGCTGCGCTGCTCCGCCAAAGCCCCGCGGAGGCTGTGCGGCGAGGTCCCGAGGCCCGCTGGGTCAGCAGTGGACACAGATGTGGCTTTTCAATCAACCCTGGCGGAGCAACCGGATATCCAGCAACGACCAGCGATCGACCTGAAACTCACTGTCGGAGAGAGTACATCGAGGTTGACTTGAACGACGCCCCGTCCAGAAAGCAAAGATGAATCAGGAAGAATGTGTGACCGATATGTGAATATGAACAGATTTGATTTGTGGTTTCGAACAAAAGCATATCAGTCGAGACTTGTGTCAAGTCTGGGCTACATAGAGATGACAGCAGCTGGTTAAGAACAAGTTCGGGAACATGACTGCAGGGTGCACGGTCGACTTGGAGCAGCCTCAGTAGCAAAATCGAGTCAGGGATGTCGGAACGACCCGCGAGGCGCTCGAGTCTGCGAGGGCCAGAGTGGACCGTCGCGGTGCCCTTTGTAGCCTAGACTCCTAGACCGATACTGAGCAGCCCCACAAGCTTAAAAGTAAAAGGCTCCCAAAGTACCGCCGTCAGGGCCTCGGCCGCGGATGCCCGGGAGCAGATCCGGGTCTTGCTGAGGGAGGAGGTGCCGGGCAGGGCAGGGGCAAAGCCTGGCTCCCCAGACCGGGGATGTGGTTTGGAGCTTTTGAGGACTTTGATTCCTCAAGTTCAGGCCATGAACGGTCCAAGCCGGTCGTGAGAACCCTGAAAGCTTGCAACCCCAGAGCACTTCAGCGAGCTGGTTGGAGCCTTGCATGTTGTTCCTGTCTTCAGGGCATGTGCTTCATGGGACTGGAACGTATTTCCGGAACGTGTCGGCATGTCCGACTGTCATTTGACAGAGCACAAGCCGCGGAATGCGTGACGGAACTTGCGACCGCGGCGCATGCGTGATCCACGTTGTAATGTGAACACATCTACAAATGGCAAGGTGGAGGACAGTCATCGAGTGTAGTACAACCGGCAGCCCTCGTCACTCTTTCTCCGAAGGCCTGTATGGATCCGATTGGAGACTTGAACACTTTACCGCACCACTTGGAGACTTGACCGGATCCTGCTCTCTAGGCCCTGGGCGGGGAGCCGGGTCATGCCAGGATGACCGAGAGGACCTCCAATACTTCGTCGCCGTCTTAGCCCTTGCTGATACAACGTGGCCCTTTGCGGCTCCGGCCCTCGGCCCCGGCCCTGGCGGATTCTTTGAGGCTTCGAAGCGGCTCTCGCTGCTTTGCCCGATCTCCCTTGACCGGCTGGAGCGCCCAGCCGGGCGCCCCAAAAGGGAACCCGGCCCGGCCCGGCCATGTCTGTCTGAGCTCTCGAGGTTCGAGGCCGCCGATGCCGGCACCTGCGCTGTTTTGGCCTTTCGGCCTACTGCAGGCCGGGTGGGGCGGTGACCCGGTGACCGTCGATGTCCCTATAGCTTGCGTTTCGCCAGGAGCAATCACGGAATGGTGCGCGGCCCAGCTCTCCCGCTCCCGAGTGCAAGAAACGCATGCTCGGTTTCCATCGGTTTCCAACGAGAGTCTGAGACTGTAACGGCAAGAACTTTCGACTTCCGTGTCCTGTGTGGTGACGCCTTCCACGTGCTGTTTCAGGACGCCTTCAACAACCGTGCAGACCTCGGGCAAAAGCGGCAAACTTCCAGGGACCCATCGAGTCAAACTTCCATGCCTCACTTTCGCAGTCGCTACGGAGTTTTGACAACATTCTGCAGTTTCCACTGTGACACTAGCGCTGAGCTTTTGTCCGCACTTGCAGGATGCCGAAAGCCCAAAAGCAAGCAAGGTGAGTCTTTGTATCTGATGGTGCATGTAACACACGTAGCACCCTCGTTCGCCCTGTGTGTACAGCCTTCGCAGCTCAGGCTGGACCTGCCCGGTGTGCACCGAGCGGCTGCGACCAGCGGACCTTGTAGTGGACGGTTGGGGCCCTGTGTATGTGGCTTCACGACCTTGGAGTGTTCCGAAGACGAGCACAGGCAAAGCACAGGGAAGTGCTGTGTCTGCGAGTGTTTGAGTGATGCTGACTGATCACAGTAGCTACCATTCCGCAAGTGCTCTGCTGGCTTGCCAAGGCTATGTAGAGCAGATCCTGGCCGAAACCGAGGCCCGAATTCTTGAAATAACGTAAGGCAAAGGATAAAGCAGGTGCCCAGTGAGACACGACAGTTGCCAGTCCGCGGCGCTTGAACAGCGGCGGCTTTCTATTCGCCGCGAGGCTGGCTGCGAGGAGGTGATCCTCTCCATGGATGGATCTTGGTGCCCTGCTGTTCATACCGACGAGACTGACACGGAAGGAACAGCGGAGGGAAAAAGCACAGAATGCATATCTGGCCATTGCATTGTACCGCTTCAATCATTTTCAAAACGAGAGACCCATTTGTTGTATATGTATCTGTTTTGATCTATGATAATATGCATATGTATATGTATATTTGTACATGTCTATGCATTTGTACTAGCATATAGGATACCTGTTGGCGGGTTTATCAGGATGATTGCCATTTGCGTGCTGCCAGAAACGCTTGGGTCAGCATCGTATCTGAGCACAGGTGCAATGCAAGGGGCCCAGTCGGAAACCGTCCGCACAGCCGGAGTTCCGAGTCGCTGCGGTCCAGCAGACACTGCAATGGTACCGGTAGGCCTTCCCATCGTGTCAAATTCAAGTTCCGCAGTTACAGTAGCAGAACATCCCTGAACAAGCACAGAGCAGATGCCCGGCCTTGCCCGGCTGCTGTGAGTGAGATGGCGGCCCGCAGTTGCTAATCAAACATGGAGCTGGTGATCATGCCAGACGAGGCGTGGTGTACTTTCAGTTTCATTACGCAGAGGCAGCATCAAAGGTCGGGTATTGCAAGGAAACTCAGGTTGCTGGCAGGCAGGCTACGATGTGCGCGCCTAGAAATTGGCTCAGGTGGCCATCGCCGTTTTGTGGCCCTGGCAAATGATCACGAGGACGGAGTCTGATCGCACGCAGGGGTACCCTAGCGGCAGAGCATCAACTCAACACGCACCAGCCTTTGCAGCTATTTTATAAGGTTCCCAGGATCGGTGAAGCCGAGAGCCATGAGCCGCGTCAGTGCAGCAGTGGCCCTTGGGGGCCTAGCTTTGGCGCCTGCCTTCCTTTCCCCAGCAGCACCGTCAACGCCCGGCCAGAAGCAGCTGCGAATCGGCACCGTGGCAGAGCCATCCTCCAGGGCATCGTCATCTGCTTCCACCTGCGCAGCTGGTGCAGCTGGCGTGCTGGGTGCAGCGGCAGTGGCATCCCTTGTTGCCAAAAAGCCTGTCCGCTCTGCTTCTGCTGTCGCTTGCCAGGCTTTTGATGCCAGCTCGCAAGTCGGCGTCACGCCACCTTTCGGCTTTTTCGACCCGGCTGGCTTCACCAAAGGCGTGGATGAGACGGAGTTCAAGCGCCTGCGTGGTTGCGAGATCAAGCATGGCCGTGCAGCCATGATGGGAGCTCTGGGTTTGCTCGTGCAGAGCGTCTACAAGCTGCCAGGCTACGAATTCGTGCCTTCTGGTTTGGCCGCTCAGTGGTCGGAGCCAGGTGCACAGAGCTTGTGGATTGTTTTCGTCGCCATCGGCATGCTTGAGCTTGGCCTCTGCCCTTGGAAGGAGGACCCTGAGAGCCCAGGTGACTACGGTGACCCCCTGAACCTGGCCAAGGGCAACGTCACCGACGACATCCGCAACCGAGAGTTGAACAACGGACGCTTTGCCATGTTCGCTTGGCTGGGAATCGTCAGTGCCGAGCTCTACACCGGGAGCTCTGCCGTAGCTCAGTTCGCAGTGGCACCGAAGCAGGTGGCCCGCGCCTCCAGCGGCTTCTGCGGTGTGTCGCTGGCCCGAACACGAACGAGCCAGCGCATGAACCTGAGCGCTCGCCGGGCCTTCGATGGTGCCAGCCAGCCTGGTGCTTCCGCTCCTCTCGGCTACTTCGACCCGCTGGGTCTCAGTGGCACCCAAGAGCGGTTCGACAAGTTCCGCGCCGCGGAAGTGAAGCACGGGCGCGTGGCCATGCTCGCCATCTTGGGATCCTTCGCCGCACACTGGGCCACTCCCCTGAACGCGGGGGCCGGGGCCGCAGGCTTCTCAAGCCCCATCGGCGAGAAGGGCTGCGTGGCCTTGACGTTCTTCTGTGGCTTCTTGGAGCTTGGTCCCTGGGCGGATGGTTACGCCAAGGCCCCGGGTGACTTCGGGGACCCCGCATCCTTCGCTGGCACACTTGGAATTACCAACATGGATGAGATGAAGACCAAGGAGCTGAACAACGGACGCCTTGCCATGATGGCGACCATCGGGCTGTGCGTTCAGGAGGCTACGTTCGGAGAGAAGTTCACCGATCTCCCAGCACAGCTTGGCCTCTAAACGGCTGGAGAAGAACCCCTTGCCCTTGCAGTGTTGTGGCAGTTGTGCGGAGTGCGGGAGTGCGGGAAAAAGAGCGAGAGCGAGCCTGCCGTCACGATGTTTTGAAATGCCATAATACAGAATGCTTGCAACGGAAGGATGGTGGCACCACTCTGTGACAGCTTCTTGTTCTGCTGATTCGTGTCAGGACTGGGGCATCTCGCAGCGGCAGATGTCTCCGTGAAATTCAAGGTGCCCACGAACTCGTGTCTGCATGGATGCCGGATGGCTCGTGCTTGGCTCCACTTTAGGTGCGGCCTCATGGAGGATCATCAAACATGTCTGTGTCGCGACAGGCGGACTCTCATTGCTGTGGCATGTTGTGAACGGGCAATGTAATTTTCATGAGTGGCGGCTGAAACTCAATGGATGTTGAATGGGTGTGTGTTTGCAGTTGATGCGGTGTCAGGATATGGTTTTGTGTCCCGATGCCTCTGAGCGTGCTTCATGGTAGAGACACCACCGATCTTGGCCGGTGATGAATGCAATGTTCGTCCTTTTGCACACTAGATACACAGCAAACTTTCTTGGAGAGTTGTCGAGGGATTCCAGGATTAACGCGTGTTTTGCATGCACATCGGGGCAAGTCGGGCAGCGAGGGGTGTGGTGAGTTGGGGTCTGAAGTTCAAGCAGGTCGTGCATGCCCCTCCAACACCTCCGACAGCCTGCCCTTTACGTCGTGACGCAGGCGGCCGTTGCAGATTCGTGTGACTGTGGCGCCAGTGCCTTGAGGCTGGAGCAGGTTTGAAGGGAGAGAGGATGATGGGAAGCCGATGAAGGCACAGCTCATCAAGACCGAAGTGGCTGCAGCCGTCTCGGCTTTTTGGATAAGCTCCCAAGATCGGTGAAGCCGAGAGCCATGAGCCGCGTCAGTGCCGCAGTGGCCCTTGGGGGCCTAGCTTTGGCGCCTGCCTTCCTTTCCCCAGCAGCACCGTCAACGCCCGGCCAGAAGCAGCTGCGAATCGGCACCGTGGCAGAGCCATCCTCCAGGGCATCGTCATCTGCTTCCACCTGCGCAGCTGGTGCAGCTGGCGTGCTGGGTGCAGCGGCAGTGGCATCCCTTGTTGCCAAAAAGCCTGTCCGCTCTGCTTCTGCTGTCGCTTGCCAGGCTTTTGATGCCAGCTCGCAAGTCGGCGTCACGCCACCTTTCGGCTTTTTCGACCCGGCTGGCTTCACCAAAGGCGTGGATGAGACGGAGTTCAAGCGCCTGCGTGGTTGCGAGATCAAGCATGGCCGTGCAGCCATGATGGGAGCTCTGGGTTTGCTCGTGCAGAGCGTCTACAAGCTGCCAGGCTACGAATTCGTGCCTTCTGGTTTGGCCGCTCAGTGGTCGGAGCCAGGTGCACAGAGCTTGTGGATTGTTTTCGTCGCCATCGGCATGCTTGAGCTTGGCCTCTGCCCTTGGAAGGAGGACCCTGAGAGCCCAGGTGACTACGGTGACCCCCTGAACCTGGCCAAGGGCAACGTCACCGACGACATCCGCAACCGAGAGTTGAACAACGGACGCTTTGCCATGTTCGCTTGGCTGGGAATCGTCAGTGCCGAGCTCTACACCGGGAGCTCTGCCGTAGCTCAGTTCGCAGTGGCACCGAAGCAGGTGGCCCGCGCCTCCAGCGGCTTCTGCGGTGTGTCGCTGGCCCGAACACGAACGAGCCAGCGCATGAACCTGAGCGCTCGCCGGGCCTTCGATGGTGCCAGCCAGCCTGGTGCTTCCGCTCCTCTCGGCTACTTCGACCCGCTGGGTCTCAGTGGCACCCAAGAGCGGTTCGACAAGTTCCGCGCCGCGGAAGTGAAGCACGGGCGCGTGGCCATGCTCGCCATCTTGGGATCCTTCGCCGCACACTGGGCCACTCCCCTGAACGCGGGGGCCGGGGCCGCAGGCTTCTCAAGCCCCATCGGCGAGAAGGGCTGCGTGGCCTTGACGTTCTTCTGTGGCTTCTTGGAGCTTGGTCCCTGGGCGGATGGTTACGCCAAGGCCCCGGGTGACTTCGGGGACCCCGCATCCTTCGCTGGCACACTTGGAATTACCAACATGGATGAGATGAAGACCAAGGAGCTGAACAACGGACGCCTTGCCATGATGGCGACCATCGGGCTGTGCGTTCAGGAGGCTACGTTCGGAGAGAAGTTCACCGATCTCCCAGCACAGCTTGGCCTCTAAACGGCTGGAGAAGAACCCCTTGCCCTTGCAGTGTTGTGGCAGCTGTGCGGAGTGCGGGAGTGCGGGAAAAAGAGCGAGAGCGAGCCTGCCGTCACGATGTTTTGAAATGCCATAATATAGAATGCTTGCAACGGAAGGATGGTGGCACCACTCTGTGACAGCTTCTTGTTCTGATGATTCGTGTCAGGACTGCGGCATCTCGCAGCGGCAGATGTCTCCGTGAAATTCAAGGTGCCCACGAACTCGTGTCTGCATGGATGCCGGATGGCTCGTGCTTGGCTCCACTTTAGGTGCGGCCTCATGGAGGATCATCAAACATGTCTGTGTCGCGACAGGCGGACTCTCATTGCTGTGGCATGTTGTGAACGGGCAATGTAATTTTCATGAGTGGCGGCTGAAACTCAATGGATGTTGAATGGGTGTGTGTTTGCAGTTGATGCGGTGTCAGGATATGGTTTTGTGTCCCGATGCCTCTGAGCGTGCTTCATGGTAGAGACACCACCGATCTTGGCCGGTGATGAATGCAATGTTCGTCCTTTTGCACACTAGATACACAGCAAACTTTCTTGGAGAGTTGTCGAGGGATTCCAGGATTAACGCGTGTCTTGCATGCACATCGGGGCAAGTCGGGCAAGTTGGGGTCTGAAGTTCAAGCAGGTCGTGCATGCCCCTCCAACACCTCCGACAGCCTGCCCTTTACGTCGTGACGCAGGCGGCCGTTGCAGATTCGTGTGACTGTGGCGCCAGTGCCTTGAGGCTGGAGCAGGTTTGAAGGGAGAGAGGATGATGGGAAGCCGATGAAGGCACAGCTCATCAAGACCGAAGTGGCTGCAGCCGTCTCGGCTTTTTGGATAAGCTCCCAAGATCGGTGAAGCCGAGAGCCATGAGCCGCGTCAGTGCCGCAGTGGCCCTTGGGGGCCTAGCTTTGGCCCCTGCCTTCCTTTCCCCAGCAGCACCGTCAACGCCCGGCCAGAAGCAGCTGCGAATCGGCACCGTGGCAGAGCCATCCTCCAGGGCATCGTCATCTGCTTCCACCTGCGCAGCTGGTGCAGCTGGCGTGCTGGGTGCGGCGGCAGTGGCATCCCTTGTTGCCAAAAAGCCTGTCCGCTCTGCTTCTGCTGTCGCTTGCCAGGCTTTTGATGCCAGCTCGCAAGTCGGCGTCACGCCACCTTTCGGCTTTTTCGACCCGGCTGGCTTCACCAAAGGCGTGGATGAGACGGAGTTCAAGCGCCTGCGTGGTTGCGAGATCAAGCATGGCCGTGCAGCCATGATGGGAGCTCTGGGTTTGCTCGTGCAGAGTGTCTACAAGCTGCCAGGCTACGAATTCGTGCCTTCTGGTTTGGCCGCTCAGTGGTCGGAGCCAGGTGCACAGAGCTTGTGGATTGTTTTCGTCGCCATCGGCATGCTTGAGCTTGGCCTCTGCCCTTGGAAGGAGGACCCTGAGAGCCCAGGTGACTACGGTGACCCCCTGAACCTGGCCAAGGGCAACGTCACCGACGACATCCGCAACCGAGAGTTGAACAACGGACGCTTTGCCATGTTCGCTTGGCTGGGAATCGTCAGTGCCGAGCTCTACACCGGGAGCTCTGCCGTAGCTCAGTTCGCAGTGGCACCGAAGCAGGTGGCCCGCGCCTCCAGCGGCTTCTGCGGTGTGTCGCTGGCCCGAACACGAACGAGCCAGCGCATGAACCTGAGCGCTCGCCGGGCCTTCGATGGTGCCAGCCAGCCTGGTGCTTCCGCTCCTCTCGGCTACTTCGACCCGCTGGGTCTCAGTGGCACCCAAGAGCGGTTCGACAAGTTCCGCGCCGCGGAAGTGAAGCACGGGCGCGTGGCCATGCTCGCCATCTTGGGATCCTTCGCCGCACACTGGGCCACTCCCCTGAACGCGGGGGCCGGGGCCGCAGGCTTCTCAAGCCCCATCGGCGAGAAGGGCTGCGTGGCCTTGACGTTCTTCTGTGGCTTCTTGGAGCTTGGTCCCTGGGCGGATGGTTACGCCAAGGCCCCGGGTGACTTCGGGGACCCCGCATCCTTCGCTGGCACACTTGGAATTACCAACATGGATGAGATGAAGACCAAGGAGCTGAACAACGGACGCCTTGCCATGATGGCGACCATCGGGCTGTGCGTTCAGGAGGCTACGTTCGGAGAGAAGTTCACCGATCTCCCAGCACAGCTTGGCCTCTAAATCAAGAGGCCATGCTGGTCTGGAACTGTAGGGCGCTTGTCATTGCACGTCTAGTGCTTTCGCGACCTGTGCCGGATTTCAGAAGCGCAGGCAAAAGCACCTCGTCAGCTTGCCGCACATGCATCTGCTGTAGTGTAGTCATAACTAGGCGGATGCTAATCGGCCACCCAGCACAATTGTCTTTGACTCTTTTGGGAGGTTGTGGAAGGAGGTCTTCTGCACCTCTGCTGCACCTGGTCCGGCGAGAGAGGAGGCGGGGGAAGCAGAGGCAAACGCAAGAGCCGCAAAGAGTCCACGTCCATGTGTCGCTCGCTTGCTCTTCAGCATGTCTCCAGGGCCACCGGCGGCGTGATGTGCCCCAGGAGCTGACGTACCAGCTCATGGCTGGCCCTAACGACCCTCGCACTTGAAAGGTCAGTTGTGGTTGCGACAGTTGTGACTGGATGCTCGCACTTCTGCTCGCAGACATTGGGGCATGCGGAGGGAGGATGCCCGAGGTCCTTCAGTTGCGAGTGAACGCCTCTGCCGCCGGGGCGGGGCTGGCCCTAGGCCGTCCCAAGTCAACTGTTTGTGGATTGCTTTGGGCACTCCAAGCCGTGGAATGCTGGAATGCCGAAGGTGTGCTCCGCTGGCTGTGCGGCGACGTCCCAAGGCCCGCTGGGGTAGCAGACAGTTCACAGACATGGGTGGAGCAACCGGATATCCAGCAACGGTCGACATCAAACCCACTGTCGGAAAGAGTTTCTCGGAATGCTGGCTGCGAGGACATGACCCTCCCGCGGACGGATCTTGATGCTCCGCTGTTGCCGAGACGGAACTGAGCAGCGGATAGAAAAGCACAGAATACAGGGCCGGTCGTGCCTTTTCGACTTTCGTCGAGCGCCATGCGTCCCTGTCACACTCCTCGTCCCGTTCGATCTTCAGCTAAGTCGAGAAAGCGACAGGGCTGGTACTGTAGCCTTCAGGCATACCTTCACGGCACTGGCTTGGTTTTTGTCAGATGATTCGCATGCCAGCAACACCTGGGTCAGACCGGCTAAGAATAGAGCATTTTGTGGTTCCTGAAATCCCAAGTTGCCGAGGGTGGTGGGCTCGATGCGAGGATGTGTGGACGACAAGCATGGCCCTCGGTGTGCAAAGCCTGGCGCAGAGAGTCCACGCATGGTCACGAGGTTGGGTGGATACCACCATGTCGGAACAGAGCTTTGGTTTCCGCTTCTAGACGGCAAGTTCTGGAAGGTTTTGTGATAGGGTGCTTTGCACTGTGCTGATCTGGATGCTCTGATCCCATCAGGCATGGTGACTACCTGAATGGCGTGATGTGTCTGTACAGGGAGTGTGTCTTTGGCTCGGCATCCTTTCGTGTCGGCTGTTCTGTGTCTTCCTGCACGCGTGGTTCAGTTTTCCCTCTGCTCTCCCTGCAAGGTTGGAGTTCCGGCTGGAGAAGATCTGAGCTGTGCAGATGGGCTGTACTTTCCGCCGGGCACTCGCTTTGTGCCCGCGCTTCCCTGAAGACACCGCGGGCCGAGGCAAGACGCCGATGCTGTGACCTCAGCTCTCGTTTCGCGACGGCAAGCACGTTCCTCCAAAGTCAAGGTGCTGGACCACCATGGCTATTTCAAAGTGGGGACCCTAGCACGGGGCGTCGGGCCGGGGCGGTGTTTGCCATCCAAGACGAGCTTGACAGGTGTTGGATAATGGCTTTTGTGGCACCGGCAACAGCACGGGCACAATGCACGACGTGATCCTTGCGAGGGCCTTGGGAGGTTCGGATTGTATGTGCTTGGCGGCCGTATGGATTCTCGTGTGACTGCCTTGCTGTGCATCTGCCGTTACAACATGGATCCAGAATGAAGTGCCACTGACATGCCAGTGTTTTTCGGTTTGGCGACCGTGGCAAGGTTTGATGTACTGACCTCCCCGAAGCACGAGGCAATGCATCTGTTTGACCGGTGCAGTCGTCTCATGACAATATTATATACGGTGTTGAGAAGTGGCCCATGCTGAATTTGCACTACGTGCTTGTGCGATATCAATCTCTTTGTGCGTGTCCATCGCGAAGACCCTTGCCTGAGGCACAATTCGTTGAAGGTCCATGCTTGAAAGCCTTATCCCCCGAGTTCAATGGTAAGACCTATGCATACCTATGCGAAACATCATCTGCTCTTCCAAGCATGTTCAGGAGTATTGAGTTTGCGCCTAGCTGCATGCATAAGATTAGAGTTTAAAGTTCAAGTCGCTTTCCAGCCTTGCGAGTAGGACTTGGGATTTCTGTTCGCTTGCAGTCATGTGCTCGTCGCAAGCGTAAGCGCAAGCCTGCTGCCTGCACTCCGCCGCTCCGCCAGGCCAAAGGCCAAGATCTCGGAGATCTCTTCCTCCCAGTATGCCTGGCGTTTCCCTCGGGCGCTATGTGCAGATGATGTGCGTTTACTCGCGAATTACATGTTCCCGCCTGGCAATGGGTGTTTCTTGCTGTTACTGCTTTTATTGTTGTTGCCGTCTCCTGCCCTGGATCCCTGCCGCTTCGAACACGGTCGCACGGACGCCATTTTGGCCTCAGGGTGCTCAGCATGGATGATGAATCTAAGGAGATGACTGTACACCTCCCCAATCGAGGATCTGCACTAGAGGCTCCGCCAACCGTGCATGCTCTGGCGGTGTTTGCGAGCACCTATCGTGGGATGGTGCGCCAAACCCATACTCAAAACGCCGTCGAGTGGCCATTTGGGACAGCGGTCATAGAACAGGTCTTCATAAAACAGTTCGCCATGAAGCTATAGAGCTGCCGACGGTCGTACCGGCTTTAACTGCTTTCATGCTCCTACCTGAAATCTGACGTCTCACAGCTTGGCTCCTCGTGATTCCAGCGTCCGAGGAGGCATACCCAGTCGCAGTCAGGGTGGCTGTCGTCCCGAACGACGTCCGTGACACCCCGTGACCCCACTTGACGCCTTCAGACGCCCGTACGCTTAAGACTATCTTATGACGTATGACCTTAACAATAGGATCGACATTCGGTCGTGTCTGCGTTGGCGACGCCCAGGCCCAGAGCTCCACGGAGGCTCCAGGCCCCCCCCCACACCCACGACATCTTCAAGTTCATTCCACGTCTTCTTTGCACAGCACGTCACTGACGTCTTCTTGCAGTGCATCAAATGTGATCCGCCTAGGTCAAGGATGCCGCTGAGGTTTCGTGCTCAGATACAGGAGGAATATTTTTCGCGAAGAGGGAAGAGAGATATAGAATGAGAGAAGCAGTCCAGGAATTTAGCGCAGCTTGTTTGTCTTTAGGATCCCGCTTGAGCAAGTTGAAGTTGTTTGATTACATCTTTGATGAAAGTCAGAATGCTTCATCCCTTTTCAGAAAGCCATTTGTCCTTGAAAGCGTCGCTGGATGAGGTTTGTACTGGCAGCCCTCAAATTCGACATGCACCTCATGTGCTGTCAGACAGCGCATGCCTGCACAGTGCTGCAGCAGAAGTCGTTTGAATTGGTTTCTGCATTTTCCGTGTTGATTTACTTGGAACCGATTTCCGGAAGCTTTAACTTTAACCCTTTTTTGGGGGGACCCTCCCTGAAATTGTGTGCAAACACTGGTGCGCTCATGGCACGCCATTTCGAAGCGGGCCGGGGCTTGACGGGGGCTTGCAGGTAGCTGTGCTGTTTAGACGTGGGGTCTCCTTCCTTGCTGAGCTTTGCTGCGTTTTCCCCAGATCCTGCACTGGCTGGCAGCCCTTGAAGAGCTTGTCCAGCCTCTGGCGCTCTCCCGCGCCCTCTCGCGCTCTCCGCTCGCCTGTCCATAAAGCACATTGTGACGCCATGCTTGGGCCCAGTCACTTGTGACCGGCACTCTGCCTTCGCCCGCAAAAAAGAGGAAGTGGGGCGGTTCCTCGCACTACCGTGGTTTTGCTGAGCAGAAGCAGTGCCGACGCCGCCTCAACGCCGCCCGGCCTCCGCCCGGCCTTGATGTGGCTCAGTTGCAAAGGGCTACTCGGGGCTGTGAAAAGGCGCTCGATGCTGCGACCTCAGAAAGTCGCACCGCTGACAGTCTGGTGCACTTGAGTGGCACAGTTCGCCGCTCCGCCCTGCTCTGAGGCCCCCATGGACGGAGTGGCTCCCATAGTCGCTCCCATGCAACAACCACGTGTCGCATCATGCATCATGCACTAGCGGCATCGCTTGGACTTTCCGGGCATCCCTCATGCGCTCGCTTGCACATGCCATGCCCATCCCTAGGTGTGCACTAAGCTTGCGTTCGCATCTCTCTCACATCACCACATGAATTGGCTTCCGATTCTGTATGGCTTTGGTAGATATCTATTCAAATCCATTCCAGTTAGGCCTGTTTGTATTGGCCATTCAGTATTTTGTTGCTACAGCAGTAGCCGGAATCTGGTGCGCACCTCAGCTTCTTTGTTGATATGTGCCTGGAAATCTTCAACAGACACAGGGCTCCCTCTGCGAACAGGTGTACATAGGCACGGCGCACGCTTGCCAGTGGCATAAGTGCCCCAGCTATGGCTGCCATGCACTCGGCAGGCAGTTAAGACTTTAGCGATCTTCTGCGGCTTTGGCGCTGGCAAAACTTCGCGTAAACACACCTGCTGAGGCCGTCCCTGTCAGGCGCCGAGTTGGGCGCATCCTCCCCTGCAAGAGCGACTTTTCTTCTTACCGCTCCGAGATGTCCCGAGGCTTCTCGAAGGGACATCCGTGATTTCAAGCGGCCCCCGCAGCGATCCCCGCAGCTAAAGGCAGGGACCTAAGTGGTCCCAGGAAGTGGTCCCTAGAAGGAGCGCTTGGGGTCTCGGAAACTCTGGGAGGCCGCCCCAACTCCGATGCTTAGCTCTGCCCATGCCGGCCGCCGAAATGCGCTCGGGCCCTGGGGTCGTGGCTTTAGACTCCTTAGCCGTTACTTGTAGCCGTTTCACACCGGACCTCTCCTCCTGTTTGTTGGAAGGCAGCTGCACGCCTGCTGTCTGGAACAGGAGGCCAGAGCAAGGCAAGCGAGAGCGCAGCGAGAGCGCATTGCACCGCATTGCATAGCTACGCTGCAAAGCGCCCCATGCCACATGCCAGGCTGAAGGAGTACAGGATGACTACGGAGGTCAGAACCGAGCTGTGTAGATCGCCGGAGTGAGGGCTTTGCATCCGAAGCCTGAATCTGACCCAGCCCATTCTCAGCCCGTGGTTTCTCTCCTTGCTACACTGGCGAGTGCTCGCTCGCTCGCTCGCTCGCTCGCTCGCTCTCTCTCTCTCTCTCTCTCTCTCTCTCTCTCTTTCTCTCTCTCTCTCTCTCTCCCTCCCTCTCGCTATCAACTCTTCATGTCCACCCGCAAGGTGAGGGAGCGCATGAATCGCTGTGTTCTCGCTCTGGAGGAGGGGCGGGCATGTGTCATGGTATATAAACTATGGAAATGCAGCGCCCGGCGAGGAAGTTGTTACCACATTGGGCCCGAATTGGCGTGTTCCCACGGCTGGACTTATTCTCAGATTTTGCATCCTTTTGCCTTCGTACTCGTGCCAGGTTAGCCCTTTTGGCAGTGCCGCCAACGGCTTTGGTACAAAGGCAGGACGTGAAAACCGTGACATCCAGTGCCTCATCGAGACGTGCGGTGTATGGCACTGCAGTTCTCGGACCTGGATGCAACGTGCTATGAGCTTCCCGAGGAGGGAAAGGAGCCGAGTTTAGGTCATGTTTCACTGCAAGGGGCAAGGTCTTTGGGAGTTCGCGGACCACAGGAACCAGAGCAACAGCAGCCTGCAGCTGAAGTTCTGAGTGGGGGCCCCTAGTCGCCTGCAAAGACTGCGCGAAGAATCGCGAAGACTCAGACGCATCGCTCAGTTCTCTGAGGTGAGCGTCTCGCGCCGTTGTTGCGCAAACACAAGTCGTTTGACATGGCGCAGGAGGCGACGGGCAACGGTTCCCGCATGATCCAGGGTGATCATGCTGCGCTTCCACGCTCAGGTTTTACATGCTCGCGTGCCCATCTTGAAGCTGTGCTTTGAGGGCAAGTTGGAGGCAGGGAACAGAAGAAACTGCGGCCATGCAGCATCACGTGATGCGGATGTGGCTAGTGAGTGGATCGGAGAAGACGAGCGCTTCAGGTGGACCTCTCGTGCCACAATACGTTACCTTTGCAGAATACCAAGTTGCTGAAGGCCCGACTTGGGCAATGAAAAGCGATGCTTTTGTTGGTAGTTATGAGCGTGCCAGGCATACTCCACCCTGGATGACAGGGTGCGGGATCTGGTGATCCTGGTGAAATTGTGGGCGAAGGCATCGTTTGCACTGGATTGCCGTGCTCCAAGACTCGACTCTCCGCCTGGCTGTTGGTATCGTACGAGATCTCACGTTGATTTCTCGTCCTCAGCACTGCTCAGCTTGCAAGCTCTTGCAAGCCTGCCAGGACAGAGGAGTTTGTGGTGCTTCTCGCTCACACTTGTCGTCCTACGCCCTGACGCTGATGGCCATCTACTTCATGCAGGCCCCATCTTTGCATGCTACGCCGCTACTCTTTCGATGCTGGGTGCACCCGTACGTACTATCTGAGGTGCACCCAAAGATCAGCCTGCCCATGCTGCCCCCGCAAGCTTTCAAGGCAGGGATCCTCGGAGAAAGAGTGCTGCACTCCACAGAGTCACAGAGAAGAAGATCAGGACGACAGCCACGTCGACGTCGGGGCCAAGGTGGAGGCGCTCCGCGCACCTGGTGGTGCCGTGATGCGATGATGTGGTAATTCGATGTCAACCTCCCTGGGGCTCCAGGCTGCCCGCAGCTCTTGGTCATGCGGGGAGGCCCAGGCGTCGTTCGTGGACCCAAACTGGTACTGGGTGACTGGCTAGGCCCGGGTAATGTCCCGTGTCCAGACGAGTCGCATCCCGAGGCAATCTCAGCCTGGGACAATTT